ACACATACACTCTCTCTCTCACACACACACGCAAACACACACAACACATACACTCTCTCTCTCAGACACACACACACACACAGTGAGTAATTACACAGCGCGTCGTGCCATTTAGCATGACATTTACTGTACTCTCAGTAATAAGAGCAGAGCTGAGGAGGCGTTCAACCAGCAACCTTCACTAAAGCTGCTAACACTGGGACTGAGAGGAGAGGGACCAGAGAGAGACCAAAGAAGGACCAGAGAGAGACCAAAGAGGGACCAGAGAGGGACCAGAGAGGGACCAGAGAGAGACTAGGTCATTGGCCCGGTACGCCCAACGCCCAACCGTGTGTGTGTGTGTGCGAGAGAGAGAGAGAGTGGAGTAACCAGCGCCTTTAATCAGCCTGCATCCATTTGTTCTCACTGACACAAAATACCACTTATGCTTATACAAAATATGCAGCAGAAAAGGCTTAACATTGTGTTCTGGTCTCACTCTGGTCTCTCATGGTCTCTTTCTCTGCTCTCTCTGGTCTCTCATGGTCTCTCTCTGATCTCTCTCTCTGGTCTCTCTCTCTGGTGTCTCTCTGGTCTCTCTCTCTGGTGTCTCTCTGGTCTCTCTCTGGTCTCTCTCTGGTCTCTCTCTGGTCTCTTTCTCTAGTCTCTCTCCGGTCCCTCTGGTCTCTCTCTCTCTCTCTCTCTGGTCTCTCAACTGATCACTAGTTTCATGTATGTTTGGTCATATCTTAAGATCAGCTTTTTCAGACAGAACAGTGACCAATCAGCTCTCAGCACATGAGATAACAGTTTCTTGATGTGTTTGAAGTTTGTGTGTTGTGCTTTGATTTATTCATAACATTAAATATGTATAAGACTTTCTATTGGGACAAACAGCATGTTATCAAACAAAAACCTTGGGTACCGCAGCTTTAACATGTGGCATCAAACTGTTGAGGACGAGGGACAAGTTACATGAGTTGTATTACTATTATTAAGAAAGGAGGTTTAAAAGTTAGGTACCAGAGCTAGAAAACGTCATCTAAAACATGAAATAAAAGTATGTATGACTGATTTCTTTTAAATAGGAAAGTAACATATCCGCTATGTTAAAAGTGTGCATTAATTTAAGTCTAATTTAAGGCAAGGAAAGGCAGGTTTATTTGTAAAGCACAGTTCATACACAAAAAAACAAGCACAAAATCATTCAGGAGCTAACTGTTTTTAGCCTGGATTTGAACATTGTCAGGGAAGAAGCCTGTCTTACACTTTCAGGAAGACTGTTCCAGATTTTAGCTGCCTCCCCATCTATAGTCCTGACTCTGGGTCCCACTAGGATTAGAGAGACTAGAGATAGAGACGAGAGAGACACCAGAGAGAGACCAGAGATAGATCAGAGAGAGAGACCAGAGATAGATCAGAGAGAGAGACCAGAGGAAACCAAAGAGAGACACTAGAAAGAGAGACAATAAAGAGGCCGGAGAAAGACCAGAGAGAGATTAGAGAGAGACCATAGATATGAGGTAATCCCACCTTTCGTTCCACTATTCTATGCTTACAGATCGAGAGCAGCTGCAAGACGAGCTAAACCTACTCTGGAGCCAATAAGAAATGATTCACATCCCGAAATATCAAAAAAACATTCAATTTCCATTTATTTGTAATTTGCGGCAGCGCCTGAGGTCCATTTGTGTGTAAATGTGCGGACGTAAGGGTCTTCGGATTGTGTCAAGATAAAATACAGCACCTGTTTACGCTGCGCGGAGTCGCTATCGCTGCTGTATATTTCTATATGTGGTTTTATGTCCTCCATAAAAGTGGGAGGAAGGTAATAGAATGAGAGACCAGAGTGGGACCAGAGAGAGACCAGAGGGAGACAAGAGAGGGACCTGAGTGAGACCAGAGAGAGACAAAAGAGAGACATGAGTGAGACCAGAGAGACCAGAAAGAGACAAGAGATAGACCAGAGAGAGCCCGGAGAGAGACAAGAGAGTGACCGGAGAGAGACCAGAGAGAGATCAGAGAGGGACCAGAGAGGGACCAGAGAGGGACCAGAGAGGGACCAGAGAGGGACCATAGAGAGATCAGAGAGATTAACTATGGAGACACCAGAGAAAGATATCAGAGAAACCAGAGAGAGACCAGAGCTGGATACATCCAGTATTTTTATGTTCTCCATGGAGCCGAGAGGGCAGTAATAGGATGACCCACTGGGACCTACTCCGCGGTATCCATCACGGCACACGCGACATTGATTTACGCTCGCCACAGCAGGAAAAGCGCTACGTCAGAACTTAAAGCTGCATCAATAATACATGTAGTGTGACATCAGCAATCGGAGTGGCAGAGACGGGAATAGAGAGGCCGTCTGTGGCTGGAGATTCACACATTCACACTGCAGCAGACAGGGATGGACTGATATTAGGCTGACCACGGTCGATTTGGAAGTTTCCTTTAATGAGACAGAGAGTGAAGAAGATACTGGGAGGAGCTCTGGAGCAGGAGTCGCCAACCTGCATCATCCACGGAGATACCAAGGACAGTGGAGATGATCCAGGACACTCAACATTCAACTACACACATAGACTTGATCAACATTTATGGACATTGGTCTCTGCCCCTAATGAACCAATGGCTCTATGTGTTTTTTATCATTGCGTTTATTGTGTTTGAACGGTTTGATTTGCCAGCACAGGGCGAATAAAAATAGTTAGTTTTGGTGCAGTCACGAGTATCACCATCAATATTGATCATTTATTACAAAGTTAGTATGAATTAACAAGTTGGGGGCATTTGAATCAAACATTTTGGAATAATCAACAATAGTAGTAATTTCTAAATCCCCTGGGGAGGAACAAGTTACTCTTGAGCAACAAGTTGGAAACCCCTGCTCCAGAGGAATGGGCCAAAATACCAGCAACAGTGTGTGAAGACTTTTGATACTGACTAGATACTTATTCCATCATACATTTACTTTCTCTACTGTTAATGTTAAAGAATAAGAAGATGCACAGTTTTAAATGTAGCTCTCTAATGAAGCCTGCTGAAACTTAGTCTGGTCGGCTCCCACTGCAGCCCATCCAGGCCGGCCCCTCACCCCTAACCTATCACACAGCAAAGCCAATTCCCTGCCAGCCTATGCCAGCCAAGCCTCCAGCTTAACAGGGGAAACTCCCATGAAACTACCCCTTCTCCAAGCCTTGCAACCACCGCCTCCTCCTCGACCCACGCTCTCATCCCAACTTGCCCTTACGCCACCTACAGTACATATAGATCCCGGGGGATCTTAAGTGAGCACAAGCAAGAAGCTTCATGGACCAAATGCCGCAATCGGGGCCTATGGTGCCAAACCATACAATTTTAAAAAATGTTATACTTTAACTTTACAACCAATTTGTGTCTTTTAGTCTCTTCAGATTTTATTATATTTATCAAGGAGCTAAACGGTGTGTGCAAAATAAAATAATGTGTGCAAATCCAGTGGTTTGATCCCTGCATGTTCAGATGTTCATATACAGTATTTTACACACAAACATTTAAACGTCTTCTGAACAAGTCTAACTCACTCATGCAGACAAAAGTAGTTGTTAGCTTCCTGTCTCCTCTGCTAATTCTGTATTTGATTGCACATTCATCCAGACAAGGACTTGCAACAAAACAAAGTGATTGAAGAAGTTTGATTAGAGAAAGTAATTACCATGAGTTTGGAACCGTTTCTGCTTTTTCTGGTTGAGACTAAACACAGTGATGATTCTAACTCATCATTTCACTCAGTTTTGCTGTTTAAACCAGCACAACATTACACTGTAGTAAAGACATTATTTAAAAAAACCAGCAAATAATATCTGGTCAAGATATAAGGGAGAAATTAGAGTGATCAGAGAGAGATCAGAAACCAGAGAGAGAGCAGAGAGAGAGCAGAGAGAGAGAGACCAGAGGGAAAAATAATGTCTGGTCAAAAGATCTTTATTGGTTTTACTATAAGTTACAATTCAAAAAATGTTCTGAAATGAGTAGGAATAGTGTATGAGGTAATCGCTTCTTTAAGTCTTGATTAAGCATCAAGTCTCACATCGTACAGGAGGCTTTCATTCATGCAGCAACCCTCCTCCTCCCCATCAAGGACTCATTGGCTGGTCCAGCTCTGTCACCCTTCTCCTCACTCCCACCACCAGGGTCTAGGCCTTGGGGGATTTCATCTCATAATCACTATTTCATCACAGTTCTCTGTCTAAGCAAAATCTTTACCACAACAGCAATAAATCTAGTCTAGCAAACGCTTTCAGAGTCGTATGTGTTGATTCAGGTAGTGGCAGAAAAATTGCAATGTAGAGTTCTAATAAACCTCTGTTTTGTCAGTTTGAGTCTCTCCAGGTTGAATCATAATTGTGGGAGTCCTGGTGTTATACATACAGAATACTGCTCTGCATGTTTTCTGTAGTTTATGAGAATTTCCCATTTCTCTTCAGAAAGCTAGCTGTATTAGCCACACAAACACAGTAACTTCTCCCTCCCACCAGCTCGAGTCCTGACTAGAACCAGGAAGTACGACCACATTAGTCCAGTTCTCAGGTCTCTGCACTGGCTTCCTGTGGCTCAGAGAATAGACTTTAAAACAGCTCTGCTTGTGTACAAATCTCTCCATGGCCTCGCACCAAAATATATTAGTGACATGTTAGTCCCATATGAACCAGCCGGACTCTGAGGAGCACAGGGACTGGACTCCTGTCAGTGCCCAGAGTCAGAACTAAACATGGGGAGGCTGCTTTTCAGATTCATGCTGCTAAAATCTGGAACAGTCTTCCTCTCTGACAATGTTTAAAACCAGGTTAAAGACAGTTCTGTTTAGCTGTGCATACAACTGAGGGATTTTATATTTTTGTATCTTTCTTTTCAATGTTCTGTAATTATTTATGATTTTAATGCTTTCTTATTTTGTTCAGCACTTTGAATTGCCTTGTTTATGAATTATGCTATATAAATAAACTTGCCTTGCCTTGCCCTCCCCTCCCTCCTCTTACCTTGTTGATGGTAGAGCTGTAGCCGACCCTGGTCTAGCTCCAGACTGAGGCGGTGGTCCCCATGGTCCCCGTGGCCCTCGGCGTGCAGGACGGTCCCTGAGTTCTTCTGCGACTTGAACTTCAGCGTGAAGGTCTCTGCGGCGGCGGCGCTGGGACGAGCTGCCAGCCGGAAAACCAGAGCACCAGTACCATCAAAGTGGACCACATCCGACGCTGCACCAGAGAGAGACCAGAGGGAGATTACAGAGAGATCAGAGGGAGAAATCAGAGAGAGACCTAAGAGAGAGAGACCAAAGAGAGGGACCAGAGAGAGTGACCAGAGTGAGTGAGAGAGAGACAAGCACGAGAGACTAGAGAGAGAACAGAGAGAGACCTAAGTGAATGACTGGAGGCAGACTAGAGAGAGCCGTAAGAGAGACTAGTAAGAGACCAGAGAAAGAGGAGGGAAAGAGACTAGAGAGAGCAGAGAGACTAGAAGGCAGTTACGTGCGGTCAGATGAGGCAGGTGAGGCCTGGCCTCATGGGAAGAAAAAAGAAGAAAATGGAAATAATAATACCATCCATCCATCCATTTTCTACTTTCCTTAATCCATTTCTGGGTCGGCTGGGGGGTGGCCAGAGATGCCACACAGTGAGTCCACGGGAGGATGGCCGCTCTATGGCATAGCCTTGATCTTTCAGTGGGGGTTTCAGGCAAAGTGGGGTTAAGTGTCTTGCCCAAGGACACAACAACAGCAGTCATCAGTGGGAGTCGGTCTCATGGTGGGCTCGAACCCACGACTTTTAGGCTCAAAGGCCAATGCTCTACCAACTGAACCACTGTCGCTCTTCCCAAAAATATAATAATACTTGGTCACTATATATCAAGTGATTTATGTTATTGTATTATTTTCATGTAACTTTGCCTTATTTAATAAATTTTTACCTTGAAATCGCAGATTTTTGTCATATTTTCTCATATTTGACAGAGCGGTGCGCTGTGAGGCGAGCCTCACTTGGGAGACGTAAATGCCTGTAGTTCCTAGAGGCAGGAGCCCGTGCGCTGCTATCAAACTCTTTTCTCTGTTTATCGCGGTTTACAAAGTTCAAACACACTTCCTTTACAATCTACATGTCTACCTTTGAGAGGATGAGTCATAAATTGTGTTTTTGACAAAAAATATGGGTCTTAATTGCGCTCAAACCACGGCTTGTAATGTCACCAAGTGAGGCCAGCCTCAGGGTAGGGGGCTGCATCCAATTCCATCAGAAAGCCCCTTTCTTATTCTTCCTCTGCTAAGGGCAGCTACAGGTTTGGCTAAAATACATGTAACACATTGTAAGAGTATTTAAAATGAGGGTTTATATTAGAAATTGGATGTACCCGCGACTCGGCTGCAGCTAGCGAAACATGAGAGGAGTTTATGGAGGAGGCACCCGTTTTGTTTTACTTTTAGAGCAGAGAGGGACAAGAGGAAGACTAAAAAGAGACTAGAGGGAGACTAGAGCCATCAAAGAGGACCATATCATATTCTGCACTCAACAAAACCATCAAAGGGTTAGTGCTTTCTCTGACGCACACAAAGGGAATGAATGATCCAACCAGAGACCTGCGCTGTGTGCTCTGTGTGAACTCTCCGTAAACGTCATTACTATTGTAGCATTCATAATCATCACAGATAGGATCCATCATCAGTGTGTTTACAAAGCACTCGTGAAACCCGGATTCTGTTTGAGAATCCACTGAACTGACGGTGGCTTTGGAGGCAGTTTTTATTGTATATGATGTATCGATTCTGTTTTTCCATTAAAAACTTCAGACATTGGCTCTATATCTGTATGCGGCACCAGAAAACACAATCATAGAGAACACAGCAATCTCTGTGTGACAAAGGTTTGACAATCAGGTACAGGTTTAGCGACTTGTTATGTCATACTCAACCCTACTCTACTCTACCCTTCTCTACTCTACTCTACTCTACCCTTCTCTACCCTTCTACTCTACTCTACCCTTCTCTACTCTACTCAACCCTACTCTACTCTAACCTTCCTTACCCTACCTTACTCTACTCTACTCTTCTCTACTCTACTCTACTCTACCCTTCTCTACTCTTCTCTACTCTTCTCTACTCTACCCTTCTCTACCATTCTACTCTACCCTTCTCTACTCTACTCAACCCTACTCTACTCTAACCTTCCTTACCCTACCCTACCCTACTCTACTCTACTCTACTCTACTCTACTCTACTCTACTCTACCCTGCCCTACCCTACCCTACTCTACTCTACTCTACTCTACTCTACTCTAACCTTCCCTACCCTACCCTACCCTACCCTACCCTACCCTACTCTACTCTACTCTACTCTACTCTACTCTACTCTACTCTACTCTACTCTACTCTACCCTCACTACCCTACTCTACTCTACTCTACTCTACTCTACTCTACTCTAATCTACCCTACTCTACTCTACTCTACTTTACCTGATTGCGATTCCATTACCATTTGCACAAGTACCATACCCTAGCAACCGACCAGCAACAAACCAGTATCTGTGAAAATTCCTTGGTAACCATATCTTCCAGCAGCACTCCGGCCAACCACTGTCAGTTACAACACTTTAGTACCAGCTCGGCCTGGATAGATCCAGGACCAAGAGGGACAAGAGAAAGACCTAGTACAGGCACTCCCAATCAGGGGAGAGTAGAGTATAGAAGAGTAGAGCAGGGTAGATTAGATTGAAGTAGGGTAGAGTGTAGAGTAGAGTACAGTAAAGTAGAGTTGTGTAGTGTAGTGTAGAGTTGTGTAGAGTGGGGTAGAGTAGATAAATATGATGAAAGAGTTTTGGTTTTAGAGAGCAGAGGCTCACAGTAGGGGCAGCCGTAGACCTCCAGCCTCAGTCCGATGCGTCCAGTCGGGTTCCAGTCCAGAGGAACCAGCCGCAAGAACCGGGCAATCACTGGCTTCTCCAGCTTGTACTGCACCACAGAGTCTGCGTTAGAGTTCCCAGGGAGGGCCTGTAACCAGAGAGAGACCAGAGAGAGATCAAAGAGAGATCAGAAATCAGAGAGAGACCATAGAAACACCAGAGAGACAGTAGAGAAACACCAGAGAGAGACCAGAGAGAGATCAGAAATCAGAGAGAGACCACAGAAACACCAGAGAGACAGCACAGAGAGACCAGGGAGAGAGACCAGAGAGAGATCAGACAGAGATCAGAGAGAGATCAGAGAGAGACCAGAGAGAGACCAGAGAGAGGCCAGACAGAGATCACACAGAGATCAGAGAGAGACCAGAGAGAGAGACTACATAGAGCAAGATATGGAAAAAAGACACATCACCAAATCTGTAAAAACTCATAGATATTTCTCATGTCCTTTTTATCCAAAATTAACCCAAAGAAATGGTGCAATATATTATTACGTGGGGGGGGGGGCAGGATTTCAGATCACAGAGCACAGGGACTGGCCTTCTTCTGGGACTCCGATGAGCACAGGGACTGGCCTCCTGCTGGGACTCTGCAGCAAAATACTGCAGTAATATGCATATCCACTATCTGTTTATTATTCTTTAAGCAGCTTGAACATAAACAGCTGGAGCCATGAATGTAAACATTACTGTGAAAGCCCACATAATGGAGCTACCTTTTATGTGTGATTATACTGTAATACTCAGCTGAGATTTGAAAACTCTCAAGCTTAAAAATCTCCTCTAAATACCACAGCTGTTAATTCTGCAGCTCATGAAGCTTAAGTTATGTAGAAAAAGAGAAAAATTAACATTTAAGAACTCTGATGTTCTTAGATTGTCTGAAGAGAGAGGAGAGAGAGGAGAGAGGAGAAAGAGGGGAGGAGAGAGGAGAGAGAGAGGAGAGAGGAGAAAGAGGGGAGGATAGAGGAGAGAGAGAGGATAGAGGAGAGAAGAGAGAGATGAAAGAGGAGGAGAGAGAGGTGGAAAGAGGAGAGAGAGAGAGGTGGAAAGAGGAGAGAGAGAGAGGAGTGAGAAGAGGATAGAGGAGAGGAGAGGAGGAGAAAGAGGAGAAAAGAGAGAGCAGAGAAGAGGGGAGACAGGAGAGGTATCTCTGTACTTTTTAGCTTGTTTTATACATGTCTGGTTCTCACTGGGGACTTTTACACATGTATTCCAATGTGGTTTTACTGAAAATGGCAAATGAAAATAAATCTGAAAGACAAGAGAGGAGAGGAGATAGATGGGAGGAGAAGAAGAACAGAGAAGTGTATCCTCGTCACTGCTCTAATCGTTGGTGAAACTTGACAGAAACCTGGCTGTAACCTCCTGCAGCTCGACCTCGGCTCGTTTGCATTTCCAAACTCCCGGAGAGGGATTGATTGTCAGCGGAGATGCGTCTGCTCTTCCTGCGTCTCCTCCTGCGTCTCCTAATCAATAGCTCAGACCTGTTCTGCCTCCAGCCTCGTCCATTAAAGGTTTGTCTGCTCTCACAATCAGTCGCCAGCTGAGATCAAACAGTGAGAGAATCAGAACATTAGCAGCAGCGCTAACTCCTACATCTAAGGAAACAAGAAATCAGTCGAAACGAGGAGGGAGAAGACTACGGGAGGGATGGGGAGAGGGAGGAGGGTGAAGAGAGAGAGAGGAGAGAGAGGAGAGAGGAGAGAGAGGAGAGAAAGGAGAAGAGAGAGAGGAAAGAGAGGAGGGAGATGAGAGAGAGGCGGATAAGAGAGAGGAGAGGAGAAAGAGAGGAGATGAGGAGGGGAGGGAGAGAGGAGAGAGAAGAGAGTAGTGGGAGAGGAGAGAGGAGGGAGATGAGAGAGAGAAAAGAGATAGGAGGAGAAGAGAGGAGGGAGAGGAGAGGTATTCTTGTACTTTTAACAATAATACCTTGTTTGTTTATGTCCTTGTCTGGTTTTACTGAAAATGGCAAATGAAAATGAATCTGAAAGACAAGAGAGGAGAGCAAATTACAGCCGAGAGGAGAGGGAGGCAGAGGGAAGAAAGATGAGAAAGAGATGGGAGGAGAATAAGAAGAGAGAGAGGAGAAGAGAGAGAGGAGGGTGAAGAGAGTAGAGAGATGTGCAGAAGATAGAGGAGAGAGAGGAGAGGAGAGAGAGGAGATGAGATAGCAGGGACAGGACAGAGAGGAGAAGAGAGAGCAGGGAGAGGAGATGTTGAGAGGAGAGGGAGAGAGGAGAGAGATGGGAGGAGAAGAAGAAGAGGAGAGAGGGATAGGATAGAAAAGGGAGAGAGAGGAGAAGAGAGGAGAGACAAAAGATAGAGGAGAGAGAGAGGAGAGGAGAGAGAGGAGATAGCAGGGACAGGACAGAGAGGAGAGGAGAGAGCAGGGGGAGGAGATGTTAGGAGAGGAGAGGGAGAGAGGAGAGGAGAGAGATGGGAGGAGAAGAGAAAGAGTGAGAGGAGAGACGGAGAGGATAGAAAAGGGAGAGAGAGGAGAAGAGAGGAGAGACAGAAGATAGAGGAGAGAGAGAGGAGGGAGAAGAGAGAGCAGGGAGAGGAGATGTTAGGAGAGGGGGAGAGAGGAGAGAAGAGAGACTAGTGAGAGAGCCAAGAGACACATGAAAAAAAAAAACAGATCTAAAGATGAAATTATGTTACAGCGCGGGACCAGTGTAGTTTAGCCATTTGAGGTAATGCCATATTCCTGCTGTGACTATGAACGACAGAACTTCAAACGTGGAAAACTTTCTCTCTCTTGTTATTCCTGTCGTGGCCAAAACCTTTGCCCGAAATAAACATCTTTAAAGGTTTTCCAGACGCTTGATCCTGGAGCTCCCCACGCCCCCCCGGCAGCCTGCTCCAGCCCCCTCCTCTGAGCTCACATTCAGGGATGACATTAGTACCATGTGGGTAAGTCTCTGGTTCTGGTGACAGAGCTGTGTAATGGTGATGAGTACGCAGCGCTTTGAAGGAGCTAAGTCCTGACAAACGACTCATAGCCTCCCAAGAAGAGGAGGCTTTTCACTTTTCTGTCTGAAAAAGATTATCTCAATAAGTGACAGAGACTAATAATACGTGCTTGTGAGAGACCAGAGAGAAAGAGAGCAGAGAGAGACCAAAGAGAGAGGTCAGAGAGCGAGAGACCAGAGGGTGAGAGCAGAGAGACCAAAGAAAAACAGACTAAAGCAAGACCAGAGAGAGAGAAGAGAGAGACCAGAGAGAGACCAGTGGTAAGTCTCTGGTTCTGGTGGCAGAGCTGTGTCATGGTGATGGGAGCGTGGTGCTTTGAAGAAGCTAAGTCCTGAAGAGGAGGCTGTCGTGAGTCCAGGGAAACAGCAGAAGAAGAGAGGATTATGACTCAAGGAAGAAAAAACGTGTGTTAGATATGAAGAGGTTTACAGAGGTCTGACAGAAGGGTTTGGATGGAGAGCAAAAAATCTCTGCTTTGATCTGTGTGAATCTTTGCCCTACTGCTAGAAGAGACTGGGACCACAGAGATTGGGAAAATAGAGACTGGGATTCTGCCCTAAATGGGAGGACAGAGACTAGGAGAATACCGTCCTGTTTAAAGAGGTGTTGTTGCAGGTTTTGGAGGGAGAGCATTAATTAAAACAAGAATACAATCTAAAACATGGATTTTTCTCAAGTTTTGACCTTTTATTTGCTTTCAGTGCACAGTATGGGTTTAGCTCTAGTCTGGTCAATGCTATTCACCGGGTTACCCTTAGTCTATTTCAGAGCCTACAGCTTCAGTCAGGATCTTCAGCCTCCGTCCTGGATCTTCAGCCTCCGTCCTGGATCTACAACCTCAGTCCTGGATCAATAGCCTCAGTCAGAATGGTTCCTCTCGGATGCAGGATGGGTCTAAGGACAGGGTTGATCCAGGACATTTATTCCGATTTCTGGACAGTGGTCATCTGCTCCCTATGAACCAATGGCTGTTTGTTGTTAGTTCCTTTCTTGTGTTGGAGTTGTTTGATTCTAGAGAAGTTTAGATTAGAGTAGAGACCTGGGTTACAGTAGGGCTGGTGGAAACAGGGCTTTAGATACCAAATAATCAGGCATAACTCATTGGAAATGGGATTTTTTGAGCCCTTAAGATTCCTCACTCTTATCTTTACAACATCAAACCATAAGATAACATAGACATTGGTTTCCTGCAATGCCCACACTGGCACAGGCACCAGGGGACTTGTCCAGACGTCAGGCACCAGTGTAGCACGTGGCACCAGTAGCAGATACAGACTAAGCTCCTCTGACTCATAACACGAGGCTTGAAAAATCTCTCCGGGAGCTCATTGGGTTTAGCGCCTCTCAAATCACTGTCAAAGAACACATATTTAAGCTCCGGGAAAGTGGCCCTCGCCGGCTGGGTTTCTGTCAAAGAGAGATCCAAAGGGGAGAGAGGAAGAGGAGGGGGAGGAGGAGGTGTCACTAGGAGAGAGTTTGTGTCGCTGCCATTTTGGAACTGATTCAGGATTTCCTCCTGGGCGTCCAGATGTAGAGCAGCACTTCTCGAGTTCTCAAAACACACACCGCATTAAAGTGTGTCATCCAATCCAGCGCTCTAGTTTCTCTCTGATGTTTTTGGTCTCTCTTTGGTCTCTCTCTCTCATTTCTCTCTGGTCTCTCTCTCTCAGGTCTCTCTCCAATCGCTCTCAGGTCTCTCTCCAATCGCTCTCTGGTCTCTCTCTGATCGCTCTCTGGTCTCCCTCTCTCATTTCTCTCTGGTCTCTCTCTCTGGTTTCTTTCTGGTCTCTCTCAGGTCTCTCTCTGATCGCTCTCTGGTCTCTCTCTCTCATCTCTCTCTGGTTTCTTTCTGGTCTCTCTCAGGCCTCTCTCTCCCTGATCTCACTGGTATCTCTATTCTTTCTCTCAGGTCTTGCTTTCATCTCTCTCCTGTCTCTCTCTGGTCTATCCCTCTGGTCTCTCTCTGGCGTCTCTCTGGGGATTCCCTCTCTCTGATCTCTCTGGTGTCTCTTTTTAACCACTTACAAGAGAAGCACTCTGGCATTGTTCCTGAAGAAGTAGCTCTCCATGGTAAAAAGCTTGCTCACCCCAGTCCTACAGTATAACCGCTCTCACTGAGGCGTTCAAGAATACCACACGATCTCTGGTGAAGCGAGGGCTGTGTGACTGACTCCGTTATTGTCAGTTTTGTACAGTTTCCTCAGATTGTGACGCATAAACAATAATGTGACTTGAAGGTCACTAAAAGCAGAGACCGCAGCTGAGGCCAAAGCAACAAAACCTCAAGGATATTTCCTCTGATGCAACATGGACTGAAGAACGGCTTTCTCAAGGCCAAGGATCAACTTATTTGTTCCTGAAGGAAATTTGCACACACTGATCTCTCTCTCTAGTCCCTCCCTGGTCGTTCTCTAGTCTCTCTCTGGTCTATCTCTCTCTTGTCTCTTTTTGGTCTGTCTCTGGTCTCTCACTGGTCTCTCTTTGGTTTCTCTCTGGTCTCTCTCTTTCTAGTCTCTCCCTGCTCTTTCTCTAGTCTCTCTCTGGTCTCTCTCTGGCCTTTCTCTGGTCTCTCTCTAGTCTCTCTCTCTAGTTTCTCCCTTGTCTTTCTCTTGTCTCTCTCTCTAGTGTCTCTCTGGTCAATCTCTCTTGTCAATGTCAATGTCAACTTTATTTGTATGGCACATTTACAACAACACCAGCTGCCCAAAGTTCTCTCTCTGGTCTCTCTTGCTCTGGTCCCTCTCTGGTCTCTCTCTCTCTGGTCATTTGAGCCCAAAGCAAAAGAACTCCACATTTGATGCTCTCTCTGAGTCTGACCATGGACTGTGGTTACAGAGACTGCTTTCTCTGTAATGGCAGCCAAAAAACAGGGATTGGAGACAGGGGAAAAGAAGCACAAATCACTGCAAAATCTCGTTCTGGTCCTCTCAGAGTCTCCTCCTCCTCTGTTAGCCGGGACTAAACTGTCTGACAGGCTCTGAGTGCAGTCCTGCCCACAACGCCGTCATCACAGAAGAGAAACCTCGAGGAGAGAGGGGCGGACTGCTCCTGCTGCAGGCAATACCAGTCCCAGAAGATCTAGACATTACAGCAGTGACAGAGAGGCCAAGTGCTGCTGATCTTATTCTGTCTCTCTCTGGTTGCTCTCTGCTATTTCTCTGGCCTGGTCTCTTTCTAGTCTCTCTCCTGTCTCAGTCTGGTCTCTTATCTCTAGTTTCTCTCTAGTCACAATTAGGGGTGTGACGATATATCGATTTTTCGATATATCGCGATACTTTCTCCCGCGATTCGATTATCGATATGCATTTGCCAAGTATCGATATCGATTTTTTATTATTTTTTTTAGAAATTTTTATTTTTGAATTGGTATCAATACTTAATATATGGCTACATTACACATCTCCATTCCTTTTATCATGAAATAAAGTGTATTTTTTCTTTTATTTATGCCATAAATTGGCATATTGTATATTTCTGACCAATATATTGATAATCGTCATATTGTGATAAAATCGTTATTGTGATAATATCGTTATTGTGATAATATCGTTATTGTGAGCTTTGTATCGTGTATCGTATTGTATCGTGAGGTACCCTTAGGTTCCCACCCCTAGTCACAATCTGATCTCTCTCTGGTCTCACTCCTGTCTCTCTCTGGTCTCTCTCCTGTCTCTCTCTGGTCTCACTCCTGTCTCTCTCTGGTCTCTCTCCTGTCTCTCTCTGGTCTCACTCCTGTCTCTCTCTGGTCTCTCTCCTGTCTCTCTCTGGTCTCACTCCTGTCTCTCTCTGGTCTCTCTCTGGTCTCTCTCCTGTCTCTCTCTGGTCTCTCTCCTGTCTCTCTCCTGTCTCTCTCTGTTCTCTCTCTGGTCTCTCTCTGGTCTCTCTCTGGTCTCTCTCCTGTCTCTCTCCTGTCTCTCTCTGTTCTCTCTCTGGTCTCTCTCTGGTCTCTCTCTGGTCTCTCTCCTGTCTCTCTCCTGTCTCTCTCTGTTCTCTCTCTGGTCTCTCTCTGGTTTTTCTCTGGTCTTTCGATGACTTAAATATCTCCATTTTCTAACTTTCCTTTGATAAAAACAGCCTCTTTGTCAACCCTGAGATGTGGCTGTTGTTGTGAGGCTGGTCTTTCAGTAAATTGAAATGAAATTGAATTTTTAGCCCATGACAGAAAGTCAGTGCTCAGACGCCAGTAATAATCAGGAAAAATATTCTCAGACCGTTCTGTGGGACTGACTTTGCTAAAATAGAGTTTCACCAAAAACAATGTTCCATTTATGACATCAAAGACATTGGTGAAAGACAATTGGTATTTTAACTATTCAAAATATGGGGAATTATGCATTATGTAATACTGTAGGTACATGTGAAAAGACAGGAAAATGTTTCTTTCTGGTATAGCTCTGGTCTATTTTTCTGGTCCCTCCGGTCTCTTTCTAGTCTCTCTTGGATCTCTCGCTGGTCTCTTTCGCTGGTGTCTCTCTAGTCTCTCTTTGTGGTCTCGCTCTGGTCTCTCTCAGGTCTCTCTCTTGTCTCCCTCTAGTCTGTCTCTCTCTCTCGCTGATTTCTCTTTCTGGTCTCTCTCTGGTCTCCTTAGTCTCTCTCTCTCTGGTCTATTTCTGGTTTACCTCTTGTCTTTCACTGTGATCAATCTCTCTGGTCTCCTATTTTGGTCAAGCTCTGGTCTGTCTGTCGGGTCTATCACTGAGCTTCTTTATTATGCTAGTAGGAGATCTTATTTGATTTATTTCAGTATGGAGTTATTGTTCATTTATCTTGAGCTGTGTGCTCCATTTCCCCACTGTGGGACGATGACAGGATATCTTCCTCTTGATCTCAATCTCAATCTTAATCTGAATGGTTAGATACATACCCCCAGGCTGTCCTCCTGCCGGTGCTGCCTCCAGTTGTGGCCTGAGTCGCTGAACATGAGGAGGTAAGCCGTGAGCCAATCAGAGCTGCCGTACCTGCCCTGTGTGGCCACGGCTGCGATGGAGGTGCGTCTGCCAAGGTCCACGTCCAGCCACTGGTACGAGTCCGAGACCAGAGGAGACCAGCCCCCAGCTCCTGAAGAACACAGACAGAGAAGGGAGAGGAATGATGCGAGGTAGTCCAGAAACAGGACTGAAGGACATGAGTGAGCCTTGAAATGTTGTTCGGCGCCACTTGAAATGATCGTCATTCTGTTCTGTTTCTGTCTTCTCTTTGGTTTCTGTCTTTGGTCCCCTCTCTGGTCACTCTTTCTTGTCTCTCCCTGGTCTAACTCTCTGGTCTCTCTATTGTCTTTTTCTGGTCTCTCTCTGGTCATTCTCTCTTGTGTCTCTCCGGTCTCATTCCCTGGTATCTATCTGGTCTCTCTCTTTCTCTGGTTCTTGCTCTATAATCTCACTTTTGTTGTTGTTAGCAAATAAAGGCTCTATGGGGGATAATCTGGAGTCAAATCTGTGGGCAGCAAAAACTAGCAACCTAAGAGCCAATCAGGAGGGGTCCAGTGTGCTGGCCGCTACAACTATTCTCTGACTGAAGCCAAAATTCAGGACAAAAGGCACATGATTGGTCTGTGTCACCTGGACTCACAGGGGACACACAGGGGGGGGCAATCATCACACAACAGGAAGTAGACCTTAAGAAAAGACCGGAGTGGCCTCAATCTCCAGATCTCAACCCCAAAACATATCTATTTTAGGCTTTTCTCAAGGCTCGTTTACCCCTCTCTAGTCTCTCTCTCTTCTCTCTCTCTCTGGTCTCTCTCTGGTCTTTCTCCTTAACTTATCTCTTATCTTATACCAAACTAAAAACATAGATCACATATGGTATAGTAACTTTAGATTTTTAAACCCGACATTGACCAAATTATTACAGTAAGAGTTGGAGGAGATTTAACTTTTCAATGTTAGTGAAAAAGCAATGTCCAGCCTCCTTAATCAGCTTTGACGAGCTAGAGGCTTAGCATTGTCCACCTGTGTACAGTCTATGATCCGTCCTTGAGTCTCTCTTCCTGTGGAATTCAGACTCTGTAATAATATGCAGCTCCGTACAGTGACCTAAGAGTCTTATGAAATCCGCGTTTGAAAAGAGAATTGTTGGCGATGCAGTTTTTCAGAGAGAGAGAGCCACAAAGATGTCAGTTTCACAGCCTCAGCCTTTGTCTCCTGGTTTTCTCACTGACCTTTCATCCGAGCACTAACCAGACCCACAGCTTTGAGATGTGTGGACCATTACTTTCTATTGTATTTTTGAAAAAGCAAGAAAAAAATATACACATTTGTATTGATCGTTTTAATTGTATCTGGGGGATTTGAATGATTTGAATGATTGAAAGATTGAAAGATTCTGGCCAATTACAGGGAGGGTTGCCATGCCTCTGTCAATGTGCCCCTCAGGCAGCTGTGGCTTCAATAGTAGTTAATCCCCATGGAGAGAAATAATGTATTATTATTATGTGTCTTGCCTAAGGGCACAGCCGCAGACGCCCCACTTTGGCACCTGGTTTTCCCAGAGGTCTCGCATCACAGTACTGACCCGGCCTTGCCCTGCTTAGTTTCAGAGGTCTGGGATGTGGCTCTCACCTGCAGGGGGCGCCACGACACACAGATACATGGGAGCGGTGGGTGAACATGTATTCAGATTCAGATTAATTTTATTTGCCACTTGCAGTAAAACCACATTGGAATTCATTAGCAAAAGTCCTCAATGTGCACAAGTACAGACATAAAACAACATTAAAAGTACAGAAAAAAAAACAAATTGTCACTGTGAAAACGATCGGCTAAGACAGTATCAAGTATTCTTTGTTCTTTAAACGTCTCCAGTCGTTAAGAAGCAGTGGATGTCGCCTTGTTCTTTGGCGCTTCTTGTAAAGTGCTGTGTGACTCTGTGAAAGGTGCTATATAAATAAACATGACCTACTCACTACTACATCAGCAGACTACAGATACTTATGCCCTCTCCTGATTCTGTATTCTGTGGGCAGCTCCATACTCCCCTCCTCTGCTTTAGAGCGTAATAACTCTCCAGCTCTGACGTTATAACTTTTGTATACACATACACCCCCCTCCCCCCCATGCCCCCCGTGCCGACCCTCCTCCCCCTCCACAGCTCGCTGGGTGGACAGATGTGGCAGCAGCTGGAGAGGACGTTTACAGTCGCCTCATCATCACAAGGGCAAAGATAAAAAGTTATTGTCCCAATCGCTGCTCAGTGGGAGTTTGTCCACTACAACAGAACAACAACAAGAGCTTCACCCCCAGGATCAGGTCACTGTCTACAGCTGTATGCAGGCCCAACCAGGCCCAACCTGGCCCGTCTCTGGTCTCTCTCGGGTCTTTCTCTGGTCTCCCTCTGGTCCCTCACTGGTCTCTCCCTGGTCTCCCTCTGGTCTCTCTCTGGTCTCTCTTACTCGTCTCTCTCCATGGTCTCTCTCTAGCCTCTCTCTGCTAATGCTGCATCTAATTCTTGAATAATCAACTGATCCGTTCATACAGTATATTAATTATCTAAATTGATTGAGAAGCTTCAAGGTCGATGCAGAAGACTCTCTCTCTTTGTTCTTTGCTAAACTTAATTTACAAACTTAGAGTTTTATCAGAGAGAGAGAGCGAGAGAGAGAGACGTAGACTTTTCGGCTCAAGAAACACATGTTGATATTCACCTGAACGCTTTAGGGTTTGGTGTGTGTTTGTTTGGGTGTGTGTGTTTTTGTGGTCTCTCTCTGATCTCTCTGTCTCTTTTCATGTGTGTCTCTCTCTTGCCGTGTGTCTTTTTTAGTGTGTGTGAGTGTGTGTTTGTGTGCCTGTTGGGTTGATTGATTCTATGATCTAGATCTGAGACTGCCCACAGACTCAACCCAGGAATACCCAAAGTGATTTTTGAGATTAATGTTAACACAAAGAGCTGATTGTAGCTTGTGATATTTGTTATTTACAGTTAGTTAAGGTGCAGAGTCGCTGTTTTACTTAATAAATAATACATTTTCTTTGTACAGAGAGAGTTGGGTTAAAGGGCCGTCGTCATCTCATAAACAAACATTATTTTAGCCCTGTGAGCCACTACTGATGTTTGAGCTGAGAGCTGATTGGCTGAGTGACGGGGGTCCTCTTTTTTTCACTTTTCTGAAGGAAAAATCTGACCTAAAGATGTGACAAAGGCCAGAAAAATGCAGCTAAAGAAGATATTCAGACTGTGAGACATGGATCACAGAATGTATCGTCTCACCTGCCAGCTCCTCTCTGGTCCCTCTCTCTACTCTGGTATCTCACTCTCTCTGGTCGCTCTCTCTCGGGTATCTCACTCTCTCTGGTCTCTCACTTTCTTTGGTGTCTCTCTCTCTGATCTATCTTATTCTATCTCACCCCCTTTATTTCTCTCTCTGGTCCCTCTCTCTCTCCCTTTGGTCTCTCCCTGGTCCCTCTCTCTGATCTCTCTCTCTCTTGTGTCTCTTTTTCTGCTCTCTCTCTCTCTCTGCCAGACTGAGGCAGCATCTAAAAAGCAGTAAAATCATCTCCTTCCAACTCTGTATTATGCCTAATTTTTAACACCGTGGTCATTAGTGTATTGTAGTCATAGCTGCCCAGATGTCTACTGAGAGAAGCGAGTCTGCCAGTTTGTGCCATTCCCCCATCCAAGTTCATCATAAATCACTGTAAACTAATATAAAACAAATGAAAAACGCTTCTGGATTATCCCCGCTGATGAAATACAAGCCTCTACATAAATATGTCATAGTGATTTTACGAAGACAAACCTGGCTCTGGTGAAAGAAACGATGCAAAATGAGAAAAGACAAAGAAACGGCGGGCTCTCTGGTTTCACAGTCTGACTCCACTTTGTGAAACTCACCCAGAAAAACAGATGAATAATTAAACAGTGTCTTGTGACTTGTTTTGATGGTTGGAAGACGTGGACGTGAAAGACAGAGATTTGGAAATTTGTGAGAAAAATCAGAAAGAATGTGACTTGCCTTTTAACAATAACACAAATAGTGATCAGTGTTTACCCAAAGACACAAACACATGGTTTATAACGTGGGTGATGGGTTCTTTATTCACCTCGTCTCACAACTACTACTGTAAATAGTAACATTTTGGTGCTATTTGTTGTTTTTGTCGATTTCTTTAGAGTGGGGGGGAAACAGATGTGACCTGTACCCTGTAAATCTAACTCAATAACTGGTCTCTCTCTCTCTCGTGTCTTTCTCTCTCTTTTCTCTTTCTCTCTGGTACTTTATCTAGTCTCTCTCTGGTCTCTCAGTTACTTTGATGCTTTTAGAGCGTAGATAACAGTTGGTATACTAAACTCTTGGATGCACAACAAAGTTAAACAATAATATTTTGATGGTTTTGAAAAAAGTACCATGTAAATCACTGGTGGATATATGGATATGCTGGTATATTAAATATACAGTTAATGGCGACAGTAGCTCAGTTGGTAGAGCATTGGCCTTAAGGTCAGAAGGTTGTGGGTTCAATTCCCACCTCTGCACCTTCTCCATCGACTCCCACTGATGACTGCTGTCGTTGTGTCCTTGGGCAAGACACTTAAGCCCACTTTGCCCAAAAGCCCCCACTGAAAGATCAAGATCTCACACTCAAAGAGCAGCCGTCCTCCTGTGGACTCACCAGTGAGGGGCTGGTGCTATGAGACTTGCGTGGCATCTCTGATTGCCACCCCCCTGTCCCAGAAATGGATTAAAGGGTAGAAAATGGATGGATGGATGGATGAACAGTTAATGGTCCCAGACAGATGTGCTGCTAAAAGGAGCAGCAGATTCGGTGAACAGTACGAAGCGCTTTCGTACTTTTGTTTTAATGACATTCAGCTTCAGCCGCAGCTTCAGCTTTGAATCAGGAAGTGTCACTGAAAGTCTTAAAACAGAAAGAACCGCAATGGAGAATTCTGTGGACAGATAATGATAGCGAGAGAGAAAGAAGCTGACTCAGACACAGATGGTACTCAGAGAGAGACCAGGGAGTGACACCAGGGAGAGAGGCCAGAGAGGGACACCAGGGAGAGAGGCCAGAGAGAGACACCAGGGAGAGAGGCCAGAGAGAGACACCAGGGAGAGAGGCCAGAGAGAGACACCAGGGAGAGAGGCCAGAGAGAGACACCAGGTTGAGAGGCCAGAGAGAGAGGCCAGAGAGGGAGACCAGAGAGAGACCAGAGAGAGACTAGAGAGACCACTGAGAAAGAGTAGAGAGAAGCCGGAGAGAGACGAGAGAGCAAAACAAGAGAGAAAGAGCTGAGAGACAAGAGACAGAGACGAGAGAGCAGAGAGAGAAACCCAAGATAGAGACCAGAGAGACAGATCAAAGAGAGAGCAGAGAGTGACCTCTCTGAGTCGGCTCTGGTGAATGCAGAGCTCCTGGTAGTCTCCCAGTGACAGATGTGGAACAATGGAACATTGGTTCTGTTCTCCGCTGTTTCAGACGTCAGCTCTTTGTTAAGGTCACGTCTCCCGTTGCTGTTAGCTTCATGTGCCTTGTGCTCGTTATCGTAGCGGATAAAGGCCAGCGCTAACGGCCTGAGCAGACACACAGTCCACGCGGCTGGACCGAGCCCTGACCTTTGTGAGAGCAAGCGGGACAGCAGCCAGAGGAAAGTGCTTAAAATGGCAGAAGAGACATCTGAGAGCGAGAGACCAGGGAAAGATTGAAAGAGACCGGAGACTAAGAGAGAGACTGGCTTTAATGGAGGTTAAAGACAAGTCCATAGACTATAAATATTAACGACGTAGTCACGCCTATCTCCACCGTTGAAACTAATGTGCCACCACTTTTGCCTTCGGGGGGAAGTTGCAAAATGTCTACAGGGTAGGATAATGTTGAAAAAACGCATTTGCGCATGCTACACTAGCCCCATTATTTTAAACGAGTGCCTTCTGAAGTCCGCAGTGGCTAAACTAGACTGGTCCAAAAAAATAAACTCACCTCAGCAATGACACATCTGGAACGCTATGTTGGGCCAAGAGCGGACTTTTGGACCATCCTATAAAGCTGAGCGATAAGAAGATGCCATTCAAAAGCATTAGGTAATACACAGTGGCGGACCCTCAAGGCCTTCACGGCTGGCGCGATTACATACATATATATCCATCCATCCATGGATGGATGGATGGATGGATATGATATATATGGCTGGTGCTATGAGACTTGGGTGACATCTCTGATTGCCACCCCCC